ATATATTTATTTATTTTACCTTTCAGCCATGTTTGACTAACATTACAGAAGTTGCATTCTCACAGCACACGTGCAGTTTATATTACTGTTTCCAGTTACAAGTCTTTACAAAGTGCAACTCTCAGCTTTGTTCTAGTGGACCATTATTTTGTCAATACCATAAAAAAATTAGAAAACAAAGATCTCTTCTAGTTACAAAGTTTGTACTCTCTTGCCATAATTTAAGATTTTATATATGCATTTTGAAATAAATCTGAAATGAATATATCACTACCATAGAATTCCACTGTAATTTACCAGGCTTACTAAATAAGCAGTACTTCAGTCTCAAAATATATTTTTGATCACCATTTCATCTTGCATTTTCTCTTCAAGTCAACAACCAAAGGACTGTTTTTCATGCATAAACACTTTGCAAAGGCTGAGAAAACCAAATGGGCAGAAATTCTGAGATTTTGATTGGTTATAAACATGTCAGAGCAAAGTAGGTGTATGCAAACAAGCATTTACAAAAATGGAAGAGGTGGGCAGGACCACCTTGTTTGATTAACTAAATATAATATTTTAGAAACTAGAAAAGAATGTTTTTTTTATTTTGCATTTAGATTGTCAGTATTAGTAATCAGAGTTTCTATTTCGTAAGGAACTATCGACTTTGTATTTGGACATCAAACATCTAATATGAACCAAAGCTGCATTACACATACCAAGTGACACAAAAATAGATATTTAGGAGTTTTGTTCTAACATTCATTTTTAAATTAAGAAATTAATTAATGTATAATACTAAAATATTGATTATAATCTACAATTTGATACCAAAGTTACTGACATAAATTTATAATACTTCAATAAAACAAACATGATGACATGCTTTCTGACCCCTACCCATAGGAAAACCCATAACAGGGTTAACAGTTTAAAAAAAAAATTAAAGAAATTACTATTGCAAAATAATTCATACTTTAAAAATATTCTATTACCAAGTTATAACAAAGACAACAAGCCATAAACTTGTAAGTAACCACTCATTTGTGATAATGTTGATCAAACAGCTGTATAGGTGTATCCAACTTACCACTGAAATAAAATACTGCATAAAACAAGAAAAAGGACAAAGACATCACTACTTGTGTAAATTTACCAGAAACTAAAAAATAAATGGTAGTATTAAACAAAGCAGTAATTTATAATTTCTAACATTCCTGTGACTGTAGGAAAATTGTACAGTTTCAAAATTTCTTAAAGCATGTTCCAAACCAAATTTCTGTAATTATTGGTAGCAATTTCGTCAGAATAAAAACAGTTTTACAATCCAAATGTTAATAATTCAACATCCCAACTAAAAAAAAGTGATAAAGTACTTAGCATTATAATAAAAATACAAAGCTGTTGCAGTGTTAATTTGCATAACAGTAACATTCTAAACACAGCAATAACAGAGTTATCAGTCTTAAAATATATAAAAACATTATTTGAAATTTTTAACTTGCAGTTATTTATACTAAACACAAGCTCATTAAAAACTTTAATGATGTTCAAGTTTTAAAATCAACTAAAATTAACACTAACTAGAAACAATATACAACAACAAAAAACACACACTTATATGAATTTGTTGTTTTGTTTTTTAAAATTGGTTGTATATAGTAATTATTATTTTATTCACAACATTTCGCTAGGTTTACCTGACATCAAGTGGGAATAAATGTGAATAAAAGATTTACTATGTACAACTGATAAAAACATATTTCTTCCTAATATTTATTACATACAAATTGTTTTTGATATGACATAAGCTGTTTTGAGAAAAGTTTAATTTTAATTGTCACTGGTTTATGGCATGGATATTCTTCATATTGCTCCCACTGCCCATCACCTTCTCAATACTAAGTTTTCTCAGGCTATTCCTTACCATTATCTGCAAATGCATTAATCTCATCAGAATACTGACTCTTCTGAAGATACAAACTCATTCAGAATTCAACCAGTCTATGTGGAACATGCCTTCCCTACCTACTTTGGGTAATATAGTGAACACATTGAAGAGAAACCCACAAAAAGGATAACACAGATGTATTTAAATAGTCTTTCAGAATTGTCTGGATCTTTATTCTTATTTACTACTCTGAATATTTCATAAGCCTAAAAAAAATTCCAGAAGGAAAAGAATTAACTTATGCTATACAGTCAAAAACTAGTCATCATCATCATCATAGACAGCAGTACATCAATAATTCTACCGATGCTTAGCTGCCACACAATCATGAATTATTATTACAAGAAAATGGGGACAAAAGTGGGATCTAACACGCCATGAATACGGAAATGGTGGAGCACATACAGGCGGGGGCACAGCATCTAAGCCATGCATACACAAGCACTCAGGACAAGTCCTCTGGGCGAGTCCAGCGACATCAGCGCGACAGCTTTTTTGCGGCTTTCACTGCCACGCATCATAACATGCCTCGCTCGCCAGTGGACTTAGCAGACAGACAAGATTAGGCAGACAAACCAATAAGACGCCTACAGCACGACCGCCACTGAGCCTGGTTTCTCGCCATATCCTGCAGCGTTAACAGCCACTGGTTTGCGGCGTCGCACGGACCCCATCCAGGGAGTCTAACCCTGCCAACTGAAGCTAATCTACTTGTAAGCCCTTTCGTCTGACGGCTCCAGGTCAGTGCCTGGCCCCCACGTACTCTATGCCAGCTAGGATTGGGGGTAGCAAAGAGTGTCCTATGTGGGAAGCAGCTCGGTGACATATGCAATACATGTCCGAGCCATCTTAGTTTGCTCAAGTTCACGAGCGTTCCTAAATCGGACTCTGGTCCTAGAATACGATCACATACCGTGGAGTTTCGGATCCTCCGGTGCCAACCTATGCCCGCAATACCACGCAAGCTCACAAAGGGATTTCTCTTAAACTTAAGGGACGTGTGTACAGGACCACAGTAAGAGCCGTTCTTCTCTACAGCTGTGAGACCTGGACCCTTCGAGTCGAAGATTTCGAACATCTTCAGGTGTTCGATAATCGTTCGCCAAAGATGTCTCAAGTCATGGAAGGTTGCTCTGGCCTTCGCGATTCTCGCATCTATTTCACGCTTCAGGTTTCCCTCCAAGCTCACGCAACTTCCCAAGTAATTGAAGTGATCCACCACGCTCAATTCCTCGTTTCCCAGCACAAGGGGCGACGCTAGTGCAACAATATTCTGAAGTAACACTTTACATTTTGAGGGAGCGAATTGCATCCCAAAGGAGGGTATAATGCGCAGTAGGTTGTCCAGGGTCCGCTGAGCGGCATCCTGTGATTCAAAAAGAAGAACAATGTCGTCGGCATAATCTAAATCAAGAACTGTGTCTTCAGAAGAAATCCGGACATCCGAGAATGGCGAATCTTTCCTGCACTCCTCCATGATTGTATCTATTACGAAGTTGAAGAGGAACAGGGAGAGTGGGCATCCTTGCCTCACTGCGCTCATGGTTGTAAAACTAGGCGACAGCTCGTTGTACACCCTCACTCGGGCCACCGTTTGTCCATACAGGGCCCGTATGATATTCACGTATTTGCATGGCATTCCTTTTTGCAGTAGTGTCGCAAAAAGGGCCTGTCTATCTACCGAGTCAAATGCTCCCCTGAAGTCCAAGAATACGGCGATGGTCGGTTGTCTGTACGCATGTCTCTGCTGTAGGATCTGTCGAAGGGTGAAGATGTGGTCAATGCAGCCCTTACCGGGTCTGAATCCTGCTTGCTCCTCTCTTATACCCTTTTCTCTATCTGGGGTGAGTCGGCGCAGTAAAAGAGCGGCTAACAGCCTGCTTATAGCTGGTGTAAGGCTAATGCCCCGGTGGTTGGCACAATCACCACGCGTGCCTTTCTTGTACGCTGGGATGATAATCGAGTCACCCCATGCTTCCGGAACGCTTTCCTCCTCCCAGATTACCTTGAACAAGCGCACGAGTTCTGGGGTTAAGATGACCAGACCGTCTTTGAAAAGAGCTGGGGATACCTCGTCGGGTCCGGCAGCCTTGAAGCGCTTTATAGAGTTGATGCAGCTTACAATTTCTTCCTCAGTGGGCGGTTTTAAATTGGTGGTCCAGACATCCGTTTGCGAAGACGTCTCCAGCGGGGCGCTCACGCTTGGCCAGCTAAACTGATCTTTAAAGTGTTCCGCCCAGTGCTCCAGACGGCGGCCTCTGTTAGTGATGAGAGTACCGTTCTTCTCACAGACGGTCTCGCTCACCCCAAGCTTTCTGAGTCACGTGGATCGGATCAGCTGGAATAATCTGCAAAAGTTACCGCTATTGTTGGCGTTTTCCATGTCTTGCGCTTTTTGAGACCACCAAGCTTCTCGATCATCCTGAAGGCTGTGCTTAAGTTCCCTACCGATCATACGTCGGGTAGCATTATGTTCTGAACCCGCAGGAATCCGGCGTCTACGTTCTAGAATCTCAAGAGAGCGCCGAGAGATCCAGTGGTTCCCATTATCATTAGATGTTTTACCACATACTTCTGCACATGCCCATTGCATAGCAGTGGAAATCCTTGTCCAAAGTTGTTCGGCGGTATCGTGAGCAGCAAGTACGAGCGCACTTGCTAGTTGACGTTGGTATCATTGCTTCGTGTCTGGGTCAGACAACTTATCTGTTGCCAGTCGCTGGGGCTTGCGGAGATGTCTTCCCGGGACGTTCATGATTGTGTGTGGTCTGGGATACTGCCAGGTCGCCCAGGCCTAGACAGGAAACAGTGGCAATACTGTGAGGTGATAATGATGGGGCATTACATCATTCAGGAACAAAATATTCAAAAGCTTTAAAAAAACTACTGGCCAAGTTATTGGTGGGATAAATGCCTCACAGGTTCCAGCACCACTGTTATGCCACTTACTTAACGTTACTTATGTTAATAATAATAACCAAGAAATGTAAGAAACTTGTAGTTATATAAGTTCAGTTATGTTATTTTCAAAAACTTCTATTTATGACTCTGTTAATTTAAGGTATATCCAAGAAGCCCTGGATCCCTCAGATACTACTTATTCATTGTTCGTGAAGATTTTTGAAAAGTTTCGATTAGGTGAACCAGAGTCGGCACAATCTCTGCCTAAGAATGAAGATGCCTCTGCAGCTGACATTACAAGTTTAGAAGCAAGCCGACTGGCAGAACGCAAAAAAGCTGCTTATGTTGATGATGATAGGGATGAAGATGAAATGGATGTAAGTTTGTTTTTTTTATATTAAGTTTTAAGTGCCATTTAAATAAAGAAAGAATTGATATTGATTACTTGCGTTTCCGTTTAACAAAAATGTTTCTTATCTTACCTTTGATTTTTATTTTTCTTTGTTTTGGTACATGAGTGTAATGATGAGAGATGAAGAAATAACATTTTATCAGCTTCTGTACAATTTGCTGTTATTGAACTGTTTGTGAAATTTATATTTTGTGCTTCTCTTATAGGTAGTCATCATACAAAAAATAAACAAAAGATGTATTTTTCAGTGATATGAATGTCTCTGTGAAGGATTAATCTTACATATTAAAAGCCAAAGAAAACAAAAATGTCATGATTGGCATTCCTTACTGACTAGGCTTGAGCACACAACTTATAAATAAAAAGTACTGGTGATATTGTGCTGTAATTAAGATATGTGTCCCCAACAAATTTGGGATTAAAAAAAATCATAATAAATATATTTACTATTTTTCCGATTTTGAATAATTAGTCCTAAATTATCAGTTAATTTTGATTTAAAAGAAAAAGAAGCCTAAATTAAGTTATAATGGAATAACTATTGAACTTCTCTTTCAGCACCTTAATCATTTCAATTTCATGAGTAGTGAGATAGTGGGAAAAAGAAATATATTCACATCAGTACATAAGTAGTTAATTTTTTTTACTGTTTATTATTATTTTTTATAAATTAATGAATATTTGGATTGCATAAAGTATCATTGTACTGTAAATCAGACTGAGGCCTTTTTTTAGTATTTTGTATTATCACCGTGTATATAAAATGTTACTCTTTTAACCCTTTTGCTGCATAGTTTGGATATATCCTAATAAACACTTAAATCAATTTACTGCAAAATGTGAATTTTTCCCATGACTACCAAAAAGTAGTTTCCCTCTACTGGGACACACTGGAATATTTGGATATATTTATGCCATTTGCTGGAGAACACTTTTCTTCTAATTTTCTTCAATTTTTTTTATTTAAATCATTATTTTTCACTATCCTATATGGTTTTCAAGGAATATTACTGTCAGATATAGAAAATACAGCTTCTTGAACATTGAAGAAGAAATACAAAGGATTAAATTAATACTTTTATTTTCTGATGGATAATTGACACTTTATGGGAATCAGCCTGATAATTAATTGCGTAGTAAAAGGGTTAAGATTTCAAAAACATAATCATATATATCTTTCTTTTAGATCAGCGTTTCCCAAACTATGTAGTTTTAGTTATATAATGCCTTGGTTATATAACTAAAACTACCATAGTGAAACAAGGCATTATATAACTAAAACTACCATAGTGAAACAAGGCATTACATAACTAAAACTACCATAGTGAAACAAGGCATTATATAACTAAAACTACTATAGTGAAACAAGGCGTTATATGACTAAAACTACCATAGTGAAAGCCTTGTTTCATTGTGGTAGTTTTAGTTATATATGGTAGTTTTAGTTATATAATGCCTTGTTTCATTGTGGTAGTTTTAACTATATAATGCTTTGTTTCACTATGGTAGTTTTAGCTATATAATGCTTTGTTTCACTGTGGTAGTTTTAGTTATATAATGTCTTGTTTCATTTGAAGAGAAAAGAAGAAGACAAGCCCAAATTGTCAAAAAGAAAATTGAAGAAGTTGAACAGAATGAGCATAGCAGAACTGAAGCAGGTGAGGAAAAAATATAAATATATGATGAATATGTAAGAAAAATGTCATTTTGTACAGTAACCAGTAAACTTGGATTGGTCTAATTAGGAATAATAAATACTGTAGGTGGAATGAAAGAGAGAAAATAAACACTTTAAAACTGAATAATGGTTTGCATACTGGCTAACTGTTTAGTTGAAAAGGACTTTTAGTTGAGTTAGTTAAGAGCAGAAGAAATGAACTGTATTTACATATAAATTAAATAAAAGAAATTGTGTTTGAATGTAAGTAAACTTATAATAAACTGAGAACTGGAAGCAGTATTTTTGATGGAAGAATAAGTATATTGAATCGGTATGTTTAAGGAAGCTAAGACAAAGATGGGACGACACTAGCAAATCTAAGCTCTTTCAAAGAAAACATAAACCTTCTTGAAAATGTCAAACCTGTTTTCACAGTTCATGTTCTATCTGTAGCTGACAATCATAACACTGGATTAAAAGTATCTGGCAGCATTTCTACTCCATGTGACAGCCAGAAAGCAGTTACACACACATACATACAAAGTAATTATTTAAATAAACATCTATATGTGTGTTATCTTTTCCTTATATGTTTCCACATTTCTTGATGAATCAGCACCAAACTTGACGCAATGATACAGGATGACATGAGGAATGGCATGAGGGTGGGGTTGGACACCCCCCCCCCATCTAATTTCATGAGAAAACTATATCTTTCTTTTCAGTATTGATACCTTTATGTATTTTTATTGTACTT